GGAAAGAGATGAAAAATATGAGCCAAACAAGAGAAAGTAGACATTTGAATTATAAGCATTCAGCTGTGCTTTAGCAACAGGATTTGATGGGAAGAGCTTGAGTATACCAACTGAAACATATTTTTAAGTCTTTCCTATTACTATTTCTGGCTTTTTTTTTTTAAGCAAGTAGTTGGTGATGGAAGGTCGGGCAATGTACAGGATGTGGATGAGGGGCAATGGCACCGTTTCAAAAGTCACTTGTATAGATTCTACTCAACTTGCTGGGGAAAAAAAACCAAAATCAGAGTGTCACCATGTATACGCTGTTTATTTTTTTTTTTAAAAGCAACTGATCCCTCATATGAAAATGAAAGATATGGCAAAGAAAAATTCTATCCCTTGCATCATTCTTTCAACCCACCCTTGTGACTAGGGGTGCTCTGCTTGTATTAGAACGGGATTCTTTTTCCCTTAAGAGTTGATCAGTGAAGATAATCTACCATTGGAACAACTTCAAGTGATAGAAAATCCACCCACGCACCTTTAAGTCTTTAAATCAAGATGGAATGTTTTTCTGAAAATATATTCTTGCTCAACCACAAGATATAGGCTTGATGACAGGATTACTGGGTTAGATTCTCTGGTCCCTGTTGTGCAGGAGGCCAGGGTAGATGATGTTAAGGCCAAAAGGGAATGTTATGATGTGTGAAAAAGACTTCACCCTGTACAAACATCAAGAAGTCTACAGCAGCTGATATTGTGTTTTTAAACATAAAGGAACACATTAAAACGACTTGTAAAACAGGAAAGAATCAGTGAAAGACAATGGGTTATATTGGCTCTGCATCTGGTCCATAATTTCATTGTTGCTTTGAAACTATACAGTGACCATTTTTCTTGCTCACAATTAAAGAGTATGAGGTCAGGATAACCTGGGGATTTGAGAAAGAGAGAGACCAGCTAGTTTGTCCCCCACCGATACTGCTATGCAATTTAAAAACTCAAAATTGATTTGATTTACAGGATGCCAAAATTTGGTATCAAGTATATTTTGGAATCCATTTTAATCAATCTCTCTCACATTTAGCAAAATAATGACAGTATTAAACTCTCTAAGCAGAAGGAAGCCACATGAATAATCCCTCATCTGCAATCTGACACAGATTGGCATTTTAATAAAATATCATCCTTTAGCATTGCTACACAATCAAGGTCCAACCTCTGTTTCAATTTTAAACCCCACTTCAAAGGTTTATGACTGCACCTTTAATTGCTAGTGGGCTGAAACCTTGGTACAAAAGCCAATAGCCCAGACACATTTATTTTATCAAAGAGCCTGTCAAAGAAGTTTTAAAATAAGGTTGGCTGCTCTTGAAACTGATTCCTTTTAATAGTAGACTTGTTTTCAGGGAAAAGGAACTAACCTTTAGTATTTAACAGTAGTTTGGCTGTGTTCACAATGGCTGCTTTTAAGAAACATCAGGTTGCTACAACAGTACCAATGCTAGCCCTTAGCATCAACAAGACCCTGATATTTTATCGCATTACTGTCTAATCCTGATTGGAGCGGGTCAACATAAGACAAGATAAGACCTAGCACTTATGTAGCGCTTGTCGAGCAGAAATGTCAAGTGCTTACAAAGGGGAAAAAAGTCAATAGCCAGCAGAGGCCAGAGAGAAAATCAGCAGGGAGGATAAATTAGAGGAGCTAAGGGCCAGGCACTGCTACAGCCCCATCCATAATAATGCCATTCAGGGAAGATTTCATAAGACTTGTGAGTCGAGATGAGCAGACAGGCAGTTTCACAACTGTTCTTTTGAACAGACAGCATCTAGACATCAGCAGGGAGTGAGGTTTTTCCTTCGCTTTCTTTTAAAGAAAACAAATAAAAAACCTCTTTAAAAAAGGAAAATGTGGTTGTAAAACCACTCCAGTTAACCAGGGGACTCAAAGCCAGGTACAGCCCCCAAACTTATTGTGACTCACCTTTTTTCAAATGATAAGATTTCACTCTGATAAACACGATGCATACCTATTTCCCTCAATCATTTTCAGAACTACTGTACTTAATGATAGAAATGATTGCTGGCTTCCCTCATGAGCACACTGTAGCCAAAGCACCATCCAAAAACTAACATCTCTTTGAGCCCAATCTTGACAGGCCACAAGCACTCACTGGATGCTGAAGATGCCCGAGTACTTTGCAGGACTCTTCCAATACTCTTTATGGCCTTTTTAAAAAAAAAGATATCAATAGAATGGTAAAGATCTGAACTGAGAAGTGATAACTGTCAATACCCCCTCATTGGTTTTCAAGGAATTTTTATCTTTGTTGGAAGAAAAAAGCCATAACATGCTTTTTTACAGCTGCAGTTTCTGAAAGGGCCACTGGCCAGCATAATGCATTCCTTCTCCCATGCTGATTTGAAGATGATTGAAGAGGTTGCTTCAACTGCCATCTGAAAAACAGGATTTTGGGGGAGGGCTCTTTCAAACACTAATTTTTAGCGTTTAAAAAATGACCATATGGCCAAGTCCTGCACTGAAAAGATCCCCCACCTCCCCCCTGACTAACAAGTATAGAATGATGCCTGGAGATTACTAATTTCATCTAATGCTCATATATAAATCAAATCAGTTTGAGCTGAAAACCATCATTCACAAACGACCCAATTCACTTTCAGAACAACCGACACGAGCAAAAGTTTAAGGTAACAGTCCCTAGAAAAACTCAATCCTCTAAAGCTGGCCAATGCTTCAAGACCCTTTAACTATCTAAGTGTTTCTGGCTTAGGATGATAGCTTAACTGCATGCATTGCACTGACTTGTTCGTTTAAGCTGGCTTTCTAACTTGGGGCATTTTGCACTCATATTACTACACTGTATGTAAACTGACAAGACAGCCTCTATTTTAAAAGCCAAAACAATGCAGTTGAGCTCTATGAGCGGCTATATAAATATTTACAGCCATCCTTAGCCTTTGCACAAACAGAAAAAAAGCTTTGTGCTCTTCTTGATGTCTCAACATTGCCAAGTATTATAATTTGCAACCCATATAGATGAGCTTTATAATTAGGACTTGCAGAAACTGATTAACTGTGAAGGGAGAAAAAAAAAAATCAAATCAAATCAGGATTCCCACCCCCACCTTTTTTTCCTTTTAAAAATCAATTACTTCGAAACAAATAAAAAGCTTTGAGAAGTCAGCAATGTCAGGACCATAAAGTTTTATTAGCTCTCTGACAATTTCATACTTCTATTTTTCAGCTGTGTAAGAAACCGGATCCATGGAGTAGGACCCAATCCTGCAATAAGCTGTACAAAGGATCAATATGGATCTTTAAAATACCTTCCATGACACGGGCAATTTCACCCCATAATATAATTACTGACCCATTCTCCTGCATCCTCATTTCAGCCAACTTTCCAAGTACTAAAATACACAGCAAAAGTGCTTGGTACAGCAGTCACCTAGCACACTGCGTGCTTGTAGCGCTGGAGTTTGAGTTTTGAACGTGGTTACTGTGGTTCTGGAGCTTAGGCTTAGAAAGGCTTGGCAATGCCCGTCTTGCTCTCACAGCACCCACTACGGTTAATCACTGGCTTCATAAGCTTATCTACATACTCCACGTTGCAGGATCGGGGTCTAAGAAACCAAGGCCCCCAACCTGAATAATTTACTGTTAACACTAGAAAAAAAACAAGCCTAAGGAAGGCCTTTTCAAACCCAAACGCTTGTCTACGTCCCTCTCAACTACACTGCAGATCCAATAAAAGAATTCATCCATCCTGCAAAAAGTCTTGCCTCTTGCACAAGTGTCTTTGCAATGTTTGCAGTCATTTAAAAAAACAAAGATATCACCATTTTTCACTAGGACCACACTGCTCAAACTCGATCGCCTGCAATTAAGCAGCTAACACCTCACTCTGCGTGCAACCTGCTCCGAGGGTACAGCCCCGTACACCTCCACAGACGCCCAACTCAGCCCGCAGGCGCAAGGACCCACCCTCCTGGCTCGGGCAAAAATGTATGTACGTATCTAGGCATCTACATGTGACAGCTGAGCCACTTCCTTTCGTTTCCTGAGCGCTGCCAGAGGTATTACGTGTAAAGAAAGCACAGAGGATTTATCATTTTTGATGACTGGTATAATTCCCACTTTTCATACGATGAAAACCCCCAGGCGTATCGGTCACGAAACCGTAGCTCAGCCCGTTTGGCCACGAGCCAGTTTGACGGGGCAGGCTCGCATCGACGTACCGCGAGATTTGGAAAGTCGCAATTTCGGGTCGTTTAAAATAGAGGATGAGAAACTCCTGCCAAAACGGTCAGCGTGGACGCGCGTCTGCTTGAACCTATTTAACGGTGGGTTTTGAAGGCTCAAAGGGACCATGCCGGCGATCTCATCCGACCTCCTCTACGCCACAGAGACCGTAACCGTTACATCCAGTGCCTCCTGCGCCTCGTCTTGCTTCGGTCTGCGCGCGACGGCCTATCTTCCAAAGCCATCTTGATTTAAAGACGTTACGAACGCACCCGGCACGCGCCGAAAAAATACTAACGAAGAAATTTGAACTTTTAAGGCAATTAATTTTTTTTTTTTTTTACTATTCATCTGAAGCCAGATACGTACCTATTTCAGAGCAGTTAAATCACTCCCTGATTACATGGATGAAAATGTAATGACTCGGATATGATCCAGTAACGTGCCAGTACATAACACATTTAGCTAATTCAGATTAAAGATACTTAAAAGGGTA